GTGCTGGATTTGAAAGTCGTGAGTACGCTCGGCGGCCTCGCGAGGCCATCGACAAAAGTTAACCTGTACTAGGTTAAGTGACCGCGGGCTTACACGTCATACTCGGGTTGCGGGAATTTTGAAAGAAGTGCGCGGCGCGGGGGGACCGGCGTGCGTGACCCCGGGCCCGTTTCCCCAGCTCCGCGGACGTTCCCGTTCGTCGCCGCGCGGCTACGGGCCCCGCGATCGGCGCGGTCGACGCGCCGACGGTGTTACAACATCGTAACACGCGATGGCCACCTTAACCTATAAGAAACGCGGGTCGCGGGACTCCCGGCGGGACGCCGCGGCGACCGACCGAGGTGGTTACTCTACATCACGGACACGTTACAGGCCGCGGATCTTCTGGAGGTACGACAGAAACGGCGCATCTACGACATCACGAACGTCCTCGAAGGTATCGGCCTCATAGAGAAGAAGAGCAAGAACAGCATCCAATGGAAGTAAGTGTCACCCCTTTATTCTCGTTTTAATGCCTCTATCTCTGTCTCTCTGCCCCCACGTGCACCACTACTTTGCAAATTTGTGTTTCATAGGGGTGCGGGACCTGGCTGCAACACTCAGGAGGTTGGCGAGAAGCTGACGGACCTGAAGGAGGAGATCAGCAAGCTGGAGGATCACGAACAGCTGTTGGACACCCATACCCAGTGGATACAGCAGAGCATAAAGAATATACAGAATGACATTGGAAATAGGAAATATGCGTATATTACGTACGAGGATGTTAAGGAGACCTTTGCGGATCAGTTCGTGCTAGGGATACAGGGTCCACCGGATATGGAGATCACAGTACCAAATGTCTTGAAGGTATACAAAAGGATATCTGGAAAATGGTTGTTTCATTGCGTTGCAGCTCTAGATAGATCGAAGTTTCCAAACTAATTATAATTACAACTTTTATGGGTTATAAGCGAATCTCCATTCTGGAAGATTGAGCTTGTTTTTTTTAACTTATTTATTGTTCTTATTATCTGAAAATTTCTCCAAAGGACGATACAAATAACGAGATCTGAGCATCAAACTCAGATCTTTTGCTTGATATACCACTGCTTTATCAATAAGTTATACCCATTTAGAAAATATTTAATGCAAATTACTTTGATATACATTTGTCTTTAATGTGTCTCTATTTTTTACATATTTCGCAGACTGTCATTCAGGACGATGGAGTGATAAATTATAACATGATCCTAAAAAGTAATACAGGAGAGATAAAAGTGTACATGGTCCAACCTGAGTTAGCTAAAACTTACGATAATAAAGTGTTGGAATTGGAAATGAGATTAAAAGAAGAATCCAAGGGTACAAAGCGTGGAAAGGAGGAGGATGAAAAGAAAGAGGAAGAGGTTATTGTTAAACCAAAGAGAAAAGTTGGAAGGTAAGTGGAAATAAAAAAAAAAAAAAAGAAACATGTACAGTCTCCGCGTATGCTCTAATCGCATCAGGAATAATAAAATAATATTCCTGATCTGCACAGAGCAAATAGTACAATTGCTAATTGGCAATTGATTTTGTAAAGGGGATGAATAGTTATCAAGCTTTAGCTATTTATTTGATACAAAATGCACATTTTTACGTTTTATATCTATTTCTCAAAATTACAATTATATTGGAATACATTAAATTTATTTCAACATTAGGCCACCAAAAAACACTACTAAACCAGATCCGATAACTGACGAAGAGGAAGAAGAAGATTCGGAATTGATAGAAGCTAAGATAGTTTTACGGGATGTCAGCACCTCAGGTATTTTACTCTTGAGATTTGCATTTATTTATTATATATTGCAGTGTAAAGTTTTTGAACCACGTTCTTAATTATTTTTAATTACAGATATTGTCCAAAGAGAGTTGGAGTTTTTTGATCAATTCTATTCTGACTGTAAGTCAAATTTTAAGTCTATATTCATAGTTCGATTTTATATTTAAGATCGTTTTAAGTACGATCTAGAGATGCCATACGGTCATTTCCCTTGCTGGATGAGATCTTAAGACTGTCCACGATCAGACTTAAGACGATCTTGAATATAAGATCGGGCTGTGAATACTATCTTTATATTTCTTTTTGTACACACCTAAACAATCAAACATCTAATGTCTGTATAAATTTTATTTGCAGTTTGTGGACCATTAATGAGATTAAGTCCACCCCCTGGAGAGAAAGATTACCATTTCAATCTTAGTGAGAATGAGGGTGTTTATGATTTATTTGACATTAAGAGTGTTCGACATTAATGAGTGTTGAATCGATGTAGCTGCGATTTGCAAAATGAAGGCTGTGCCAACAGCATGCAAATTTGAAATGGGGGGAAAATCTGGTAAAATCATTAAGGAGAATTTGTGCATATAATTTTAGGGGAACCAATGGATCACAATCATTGAGAGTATACAGTATTTTTTTATTATTGAAAATACGGGAAAACTAGTGCGAGGCATTGTGAAGATACCTACAACCGTTCTAATTGCTGTTTATTTTGTACATTGCTGAGAGTAATTCAAAGTTTTAAAAGCATCTTTTATATATATATATAGATCTACTACGAGAGATTATCCTTGTAGCTTTTAAGTTAGCTCACAAGCTTGCTTCGTGAACATGAATCACTGGACGAATATATATAAATTGTTCATTGCAACAATTTTCCGTTTAATATGAAAAAAAAAATTGATGAATGTATATGTATACAATCAAAAAATGTAACACGATGTTATTAAGCAAGCTCTCGTCAGATGTCGAACTTTTGTAAGAATTTGCATGCACATATCCCTAATGTATTCTAGATACTGCAACGTGATTAGAATGAATGTATTGCGTACAGCGTGCGCGAGTTCGACATTTTTTAAAATATTTTACGAATTATATGTATCCAGATCTTTACTACTGGCAACGCATATGCATCTGCTTATATTTGTGTACAGTATATCTCCTTTATCGCGTGACATGCAGGCTCATCAAGTCAATTGTATTTCTTATAATACAGCTCACATATATATATATATATATATATATATATATATATATATGTCATGTCATGTCCGATTATATATTGTCTGAATCTGAATATATGACTGCAGAAACCCCCGACATTTCGTTTTCTGTGACGAGTCGTACGTCGCGGATATCAGTATAATATTATCGACCTCTCTTGTCGAGCTCTCTACGTTACCAGAGAGGTGCGCAGCAATAAATGAGCGATTGTGCAACGCGGCCGATGCAGCGGAAAAGCGTGCCCGTATCGGCGGATGACGTGTACCAAGGACAGATAAGAATGGATCGACCAATTTTGTCATCGCGTCAGCACGTGTTCCGTCAACGTCGGGGGCACTCAGCCAGTCGCTCGCGTCACGTCGCAACGAGAACCACGCGAGATCCCCCCAGATGCAACGGCTTCGTCACACGACGCACAACGCACGCAACGGCCGCAGCCTGTCAAAATTGAACGCAGCGAGCGCGTTCCCGAAGGAACGTCGCGTGACTCTGCGGTGTTCCCACGTCCGTTACCCCTGACACCACGGAAGGTAACCGACTCGAAGCTTCATGGAGCGACAACCGTGACGTAACGCACTGCCAGAATTGCGAATAAACTTGTGTGTCATGTCGAGATTTTTAGGAAAACAAATCGATCGTCGACGCGCGATAGACAAAGAGATAACAGGGTGATTTCGATTAAGCTCCGATTAGCTCCGAATTAATTTGTCAGATAACATCTGCAATACATTGAGAATAGAGTTATTAATTTCTTTTTGTTTGTTTCATAGAAGATAAGGTTAAAGATTAAGGACGATGAATTGTACGACCGGAAATTTTGCTGTAACAATTCTGCCAGCTGAACTATTTGTCGATTAAATTGATTAGAGTTTGATCGAAGACTTGAACAAGTGATTGTCTGATATTTTGTAAAATTTATACTGAAAATGCAGTTTTACTTTGACATCTCTTCAGTATCATTTCAGTAACTTTTTATTTTTTTTTTTTTATCGAGTTAATTGTACAATATTTTCCTAAACTGCATTAAAATCGTTCAAAAGCTATAATTTTTCCCGAATATTTTTGACATTGACAAAAAAAAATCAATCTTATGGAGGTTTGCGTTGTAAATATGTATGCTTACTTATGAATTATAAGTATACCTATATAATAGACATGCTGAGCACAGCGTGCGCTGTCGTGCTAGCACGCTTGTTTATCGGAAAAAATATGAATAATTTATTTATAAAATTAATTGTATTATTATGATGATTGAGTTGTAAATTGTGTAGATATGTCGACGGTCGATAATGTCTGTATCCTTCAATTATCTCGGGTTTATTGGGCCCTATTTTATAATCACAAAAATTTATCTAGACTACATTATTGATATAGTACTTCAATAATATAATATTGCTTTTATTATTTGTTACTATTAATAAAGTATAAAATGATGATTTTAAATATCTGTATGTTTTTGCAGCCTACGCATCGACAATGCGCACCATATTCGTAAAATTCCGCGAGATCTCGCAGAAATACCCGATTGTTCGAGGCATGGCATCCTACTCGATTATATGGCCCTCCGCGTGTCTGTTACAACAAAAGATAATGGGGAAAGAAGAGTTTAATTACGCGGAGGCCGTGCGATTCAGTCTATTCGGCAGTCTTTACGTAGCACCCACACTGTACTGCTGGCTGAGATGCGCGTCTTATTTCTGGCCGAAGGCGAATTTGAAGTCTGCAATCACTAAGGTGTATAACACATATGTATATACATGTATATGTATAACGAAAATTGAACAGTTTAAATTACACAATTTTGTATGACAAATTGATTTATTTAAAAAATGGCTTGATGGAAACTAAATGATAACGAAATAACACTGGATAATAATTGCAGGCTTTGATTGAACAAGTTACGTACGGCCCCGCAGCTATGTGTTCCTTCTTCTTTGGCATGAGCCTTCTTGAATTAAAGCCAGTTTCGGAATGCGTTGACGAGGTCAAAATTAAGTTTTGGCCGACATACAAGGTATATCCTCGATAAACGTGTTCTTAAATTTGAGATTAAGCGTATTAATGAGAGATTATTATTTTCCTCCTAGATTGCCATTTGCGTATGGCCAATTCTACAAACTATCAATTTTATCCTAATCCCGGAGCGAAATCGTGTTGTGTACGTCAGCGTATGCAGTTTAGTCTGGACATGTTTCCTTGCATATATGAAATCTATCGAAGGGAAGCGGAAGCAGGAGCTGGCAGATAATGTTAATTCCAAGATGATAACGGATAAAGCGCAAACCAACGAGAGAGCCGGTCATATGCAGATTCCTCTACTACGATGAAAGTTTTAGGAAATTGACATACTGTTAGATTAATTTATTTGTACATAGGTCTTGCAATTGGAACTATATTTATATTTTATACAATATGTGACACGGGATTTACTTATGATTATCTGTGATATTCACAGTACAAAAGTATTACTTTTATTTCTGCAGGAATTTGTTATGACATGATTAATATATTAATAATATTAAAAAAATTTTTTTTAATATATTGAGATCATTTTAAGTAAAAATAGCATGATTGACAATAATATATTTGACACAATTGTTAAGATTAATAATAATGTTAAATATAAAAAATGAAAATAAAATTTTAGACGAGATTTATCACATCGGATTTGTGGTTATTTAATCTTCCCTGTGGTGCGTTAGAAATTATACACAGGAATCTTCAATGAGTTTCTTAATAACATAGGATTTGAAGAAAAACGTAATGAAGATGATTTTATAAAACTGAATAGACTAAAAGCCATGAAATGGGCGTGCATTGTTGGTAATGCAAAATGTAAGGAAGTGGCGATCATTAAATTGCATAAGCATCTAGAAGATCCTGATACTCACGAATAATTTAACTTTATTATTTAATGCATGTCCATATATATGTGTATTCTCCTTATCCTCAAGTTTTTCCCTCGATATTCACTTTCCAATAGCGTATGTCATATTAAAATAATAATAAAATAATAATATTTGTATACAGGTTGTATACAAGTGTAAAAGTATACATATTGAGTGAGATTAATTGTGCATTGTGTAATTATTTTAGCGCAAGATGAAAATTTAATTAAAAATGATAAATGTATTATACAAGTGATTTAAATCCGACTAATTTAAAAGTGTAACTGACAAAAACACCTTCACAATATTAACGTATAAACAAACATATTTATGAGCTATGATCTTCCTCTAGATATCTTTGTCCACAAATGTTCAAAAAAATGTGTAACGGTACGAGTCTATCAGTTCCGTGAGGCACTGTATTTACATGACATCTATCAAAACATCAGAGGT